GTGATATAAAGACCAAGTCAAAGTAAAGACCTGAATCCCATAAAACATCTTTGACAATACTTAAAACATATATATGTTGACATATGTCTATTAGAATGTACTCAATCTATTCTGACTCAGATTGAGCTATTTGCAAATAATAAATATATAGCATTTTCCTTAGGCTTTTGAAACAAAACTTCAAACTTACTAATTTTTCTATTCTGAATTTTTTTTTTTCACTCCTATTTATTTGGTCTAAATAATTCAATTCAACAAGATTATGATTAGCAGTGATAGAAAATCGAAAAACATCCTCTGGAGCTGAATGCTTTTGAAAGGTACTCTATTATTTGTGTCTGTGTTTGTGTTTACATTTTACATGCCTATTGAGCGCTTTGTCTCAGACGGAGATCGTTTCGCTCCTTCCTCGGTAATCTCATGAAAAGATTTCTCCCTGATTGGGTGCGTTATTCAAACCCTGCTTTAAAGGTATAGCCCTTGGGTCCAGCAACTCCTATGGCATCAAAGAAATTCCCCAAAGCCTGTCGTAAGCGCTTTTACACAGCCACGCAGGGAAAAAAAGAGAGTGTGGACAGGAAGAAGAAAAATGCTTCCTCTATTCCAAAGACAGCCTTGGAATCCAGGGAATGCTGACTATCTGGGGTATTGTCTTAGCTAAGTTGAATATGAATGTATCAAAAACCCTCTGGCCTTTAGAAAAGCACAAGAGAATACTAATACAAAGGAGTTTTTAAAAATAGAAACGACATAAAGCCATGGTAAGAAAACAGATACAAAGGGAGGATTAAATGTGCCCTCTGTTGGCTCTAACCTTTATCAAAGTAATTGTGTCACAGCGACATCAGATCACCAACTGAATTCGTTATCGGATTTAATGAAGTTTCTTTCCCTTACTCTTGTTCAGGCTTTGTTTCAAGTTGAGAGTCACCACTTCAGACTAATCAGGCAGCTTTAGTGCTGCTATAACAATGTGCAAATCTCCAACACTGTTTTTGATATTCCTAATGCTCAGATCAGCAGGAATATTGGAGCATCTTGCTGGTAGCACTGCGTGTCACGGTTTGGTGGAGGTTTTTAAAGGACCCAAATGCAGAGATGAGGAGGCGGAGAAGACTTTTGCTGACATGATTGAAATCTAACAGGCAACAGAAGAAGTCCAAAAAAAACACACACACACATGAGGAGCAAAGAAACGACAAAGCAACAAATCACCAAGAAACCCGCAATGAGGAACTGCAGAGGTGGTGTATATATGGGGAACAGAATAAAGGATGGGCTAATGAGCTGATATGGCATTGGTGTGAATAAGACTAACTAGAAGGGAGCTGTGGGGAAGGAAACAGACACAAGGGGGCAACAGAGAGTACCGAAAAAACTGCATTAATATAACAAAACATAGAGAAGAAAGAAAATGCATAAATCAATGTGGAACTGAAAACTTAAAAAGAAACGCAAACAAAAGTACACAAGGGGAGAATCATAACACTATGGTTGATCTCTGCTTTTTCCGGGTCAACTCGATCATTAGAAAAGGGACTCGACCCCTAAGCCCTACTCCTGTTTTATCTGTTACCAACTTGACAGAAAAAAAAATTCTTTTCCCACATTGGGACAAATTGGTTAACGTTCTGACTTCAAACACCACAAGGGCTAAAAATCCCATGTATGTAAATCAACTTTTCATTGAAAATATTTCTTTATCAAAGCAGGTGTAGATTTGTGGCTAACAAATAACAGACTTTTTGCCAATTCAACATTTAAAAGTTAAACAAAGACCACAAAAATTACATGGAAATATGATTTTAATGGACAAATGTCTATTGACTTGAGATATGTCCTACAGAAAGTCATTAACAGCATTTCCAATGAAAGAAGGACATAAAATATTACTCTGAACAAATATTGAATTCTGCATTATTAATATAAAGTTAAGTGGAAGGAAAAATGTATTTGAAAAGGTTTAAAAGCAGCGTGAATAACTGCAAAACTTTTTAAACAGTGGGGAACATTCAAATCATGGAGACTAAAGCATGGGACCATCTGCAACATGTCAGTGATCAACGATATTACAATAAATCTTCCAAGGAACGGTTGAAAAATAAAAAACACAATTGTAGAACTTGTCTCATCCTAAATCTTGATCTTTCTGTGCTCCTTTGGGATTATATAAGACAGGCTATTAATCATCCGGCAGCTCAGAAGGAAGACATTCAAACCTTTTCAGAACCATGTCCAGGACTGGTAGGTGGCTAATAAAGGCAACACTTGATGTCTTTTCAGCTAAAGAGGAAGCATGTCTTCTTGTCTTTTGTTTAATGAGTACAAAAACAGGTTATTATGCTGTGAAAAGAGTGAACGACAATGTGAGGTTCTACAAATAAGTGTCCAGGTTTTTCATTAGCCATTTTAGCCATTATTCCTTATGACATTAGATTAGAGGCCATATTAATGTCAAGATTAATACTCAAGTAAAATTTGGTTTGGACTATTCTTTAAATTTGCTCCTAAAACACGTTTTGGATTTTTTTTTAAATGGCATCAAAAACAACTTTTTAGTAAAGGCTCTCCTTTTCCTCACTCTGATTAGTTGGTTGTTTAAGAACTAAAACACTAATTACAGAGTCCCTAACTCTTGGCCAAAAGGCATTCATAACAAGGAACGTACAGGAATAAAGTAATGTAGATGCAGGAAGAAACCTGTTACCAAAAATACACAAAACATCTTTTTTTTTTTTTTTTCAAATGAATCCAAACAAAAACAAAGTAAAAAAGTCATCCAACAACATCCAGTTTATTTGATTCCTTTTACAAACAAACATCATGCTGAAATGAACTCTAACGATTCTCTGATGGTCCAAATTCTGATTAAAACTGCTGTTGGATATGAATCAGGGATGGGAATGTTATTGATTCTTAGTTGACAAGTTCTGTTTTGATATATTCTTATTTAATACAGTAGTCCCACTGTATTTTTGGAATCTTATCCATCAACTTTGAATAGTGCTTAATTGACAGCAGTGTTAATAATACTGGAATATACTGCTTTTGACTGTTAAACAGTTAACTGAGATATGATCAGTTTAAGTTTATGCTCCAGCTGTTTTATTTTCTGGTTTTAGCATGTTTTTATCTTTACTTGCTTTTATTCTCCTTCTATTTTATTGCTTAAATCCTGTAAAGCACTTTAAATTCTCTTTGTAGTAATTTGTGTTATGCAAACAAACTTGCCTAGCCTTGAATAAATCTAATAAGCAACATAATCCTTGGATTGTTTTTGCAGACCTGTTAACATTTTCCCCAAAAATTAAACTTATTAACGATTTTAATTTATTACTTTTTGTATAATTTTTCTTTCTTTATTTATTTTTTTTTAATCCCTGGTTTTATCACTTTATTTAGAGGCATTAAGGGAAGCCTAACCATCCAGTAGGTCACCATCCACTGCAGAAGTGACACTATTGCTTCATTAAACTGTATAAAAATAAAGTCACTTTTGTGGAATAGCTCCTTGTTTCAACTAGGCTGCTATCAACAGCTCATTTTCCTTTCCTGTGTGACACAGGAAATCTTTGAACCATAAATTAGGAGGTTGCTTTCGACCCAACAGCTGCAGAGCTGCTGAAGAAGCTGCTCTTTATCTTCTCCCTATATCTCTCATTATCTCGGTTCATAATGAGAAAAGAAATCCATGATATGAGGGATTTTTCTTTTAAAAAATTGATTGTGTCACTTGCATTCAGGTCTCTTTTCCTAAAGACGCTAAAAGCCACTGTAGTCTGGGTTGAAAGCTAGATAGTTTGTTAGTTTAAAGATGCAATGCTCAGAAAGTGGCATACAGTATCTGACACAACTGAGGATGTGTTTGAACCTTGCAGATTACCTCTGTTTTTTATAGTTTTCGATCCTGAGAGGCATATAAAAATTCTTCAAGAGACATAGGAACGGATTAGCTAATAATAGGTTTTCATTCATCTCCCATTATAAATGTTAGATTAAATTGGAGCTGTCAGTGAATTCTTTGAACATATTTTTAGTAAAGAATTGTGAAACTTCTACCTCAATATTTGGTAAAACAAGAATGCGCTGCATAGTTATTACTCTCTATGGATTTGTCTCTGCTATAATAGCATAATTAAGCATTGAGGCTCAATTATGTACTGACATTCTATTAGAAGTATGATTCATTTCCCTTTGTAAGTTTACACCTCAACCACAAAACCACTGTCTTGTGCTTCGGAGCATTTCTTAGCCTAAACACTCAGTTGTGTCCTGGTTCTAACCAGGTAGCTCTGGATTACAGATTAAATTGAGGAATTTGAAGATTCTTTTACTTTGTTTTGTATTCATTGTACTTTGTGTTATAACCTAGTATCGATGAATATGATGAGTTTGACTCGGTTCTTGGAGATGGCATGTTAGGAATAGCAGCTATACAAAGAAAGTAAAAGAAATGTCTCCAACAGCTAAACAGTCCAACATCATGATCCTGCCCTTCCATTTTGAAATGAATTGAGTTCAACATTTAGCTTCTGTAATAGGCTACACCCAATCATTTTGCAAATGTAAGAGTAATGTTGAAAAGTTAGATCTGTCCCAGATAACCTACCAGTTGAAAATATTTCAAAAATATTTGACAAGAAATGGGGTCAGAAATTTTACTTTACCTTTATATGCTAGAGTTGTTAATAGTGATAAAAAAAATCTGGACGAGGTTCAACTCTAAGGGACATTAAACCAAATTGTTTTTATGTCAAATTGAAATTTGTTTGATAATTCCACTAAAGGAAATGGTAATCTAAATGCATAATGCATTTTTAGCTTCTGCTCACCAAAAATGAATATTGAGAATCTAAAGTTTACCTTCGAATTTCCTTCTTTTTTAACAGTGTGGTGCACAAAGAGAATGATACAGGACATGACCTCAGAGTTCTCAGAGGGAACCTTGGGCTTTTATTGATTCCTCAAAGTTTTAGTGGGTTTGTTCTCTTTGCATGCAGAGCTGGAGGTGGCCAGGATGAGCACAGATGGGAATTTGGCAGATCTGAAGTTTCCACAAACCGGAGGGCAAGGCAACTCTATCCACCTGTCAGCAAACACACTAAAGCAGCACGGAAGAAACGGTAAGACACCAGATCTTCCACTGGTCTTATAAAGTTTCTATAGCTTTTGTGTCACTTCAGTTAGATAAAACTGAACTAAATGCACCAATATTGAAAAGCTCTATCGGTAATAATTTAGATCTAAATTAATTATTTTTTTCGTTTTGCTATTTGAAATAGAAATTTTGGTTGCAAACATCTTTTGTTTATTATATTTGATCTGTCAGCAGTGTGCTGGAATACATACATCTCAGCACAGCTTTTAGACTGTACAAGTTTTTCAGTTAAAGACAATATTTAAGCTGTTTGTAGCGCAGATGTTAGTAGAAGTTGATTTACATCAGGATACACTGCATAGCTGTGCTGGCTGTCTCTTAGCTGGCGGCTCATCTCTACGTCCGGCCGTGTACAGGCAGATCGGGACAGCAGGGTAGCATACATCCCTCCATCATCCAGGCTACAGCACCCAAATTGTTTCGCTTTCATTGGAGGGACTGATCTCAGTAACGGCAGGAGGGAACTTCTTTTGATATCTGAGCCTAAAAGTGAAAACCGCAGCAGGAGAAGAAAGAGGCAGAGAGAGAAGAACATTATTTGCAGGGAAAATTTGGAGAAAAACATCTTTGCCAATTTGATTAGAGTAACATTTTTGAATGCTTAATGAAAAAAGGGCTACTTTTATTTTGAAGTTTAGTTCTTATCCTGAAATATTGGCAAGTTCAAATAATTAAAATAATTTAAAAGGATAAATCTTTTTTACTATTCTTTGCATTTGTTGTATGGCTCAGGAATAGAGGACTCAAATGCAAGGCCTGACACAGTGGCTTAAAGGTCAAGGTTCTTTTAATACTCTGGGGTCGAACACCCAAAAATCCAATGTAAGCGGGAGAAGCTGAAACAGAGGCAGGAAAAGGTCCAAAAACAAGCAGGGGAAAAAATTGCTAGAAAGTTAATTTTACAGTTTAAAAAAGGCTGGAACGCTTGATTCAAAGGACAAAGACGAACTGGGAAAGGGAAGCTGCATGACTAAGAAATAAATTGGCCAAGAAACAAAGGAGGATCACAAACTCCAGGTGAATCACATTAAGGTGTGGCAGATCCTGATTGCAGGGAGGAACTCAGGAATTGAAGCTGCCTAAAATGAGATAGGAAATGAATACAAAATAAAACAGGAAGTGAAAATAAATTATAACACAAGTGAATTTAACTAGTCAGGACTGTCCTGATAGCATTGTTCTTATGTTTAAAGTTTGTAAGTAATGTGCATATCTGATCTGAAGGCAGTGTAAACTTTGATTCTTATGACGATAATTTTCACATAACACCAATAATAAAGGATTTCTGATTAGGGATGTTCCAATACAACCTTTTCCATTTCTGATTCGATCACAGCTTTGAGTGTTAACCGATACTGATATTGAACCTATAACACAGCAGCAGGAATCATGCATACTTTTTCTGCTTATTTTATAGTATGGAATGATAGAAAAGGCTTGATAAATAGACATACAGACACGTTTTGATCAAGAGATATTTCTCAAACAGAAAATAATTGTGAACTGCATCAAGTATTAGAACAACTGACCCATTTCACATTCACCAATGAGTTGCATAAACTTTAAAGAAAAGCAGAGAGAAGCAAAGTGTTTTTATCTCATCGCTAATGCCGGAATATAATTTCCTACACAACTATGGACATAGTTAAAATGCTCCATGAACATATAAAAGGTGATTGCTAAAGAAGCTTGCTCTTTAGAGCGCTATATTAAAGAATATTATGGAAAGTTGAAAGAAAAGTCTGCAAAAACGTTGATGCATTAACAGGAAGATAAAAACACTCTATTGAGATTATTGTGTCATTTGCTGTTGTTGGTTTATTTACTTATTTTCAAGTCCAATGTCATCACTTGATGTTTTCTTCTACTGATGGGCTTTATAAAGGTGCTGATTTTATTTCCATTAGGACTCGGTTCCTACCCATTCTGCCAAAAGAAAATAAGAAATGCCAGAGTGTTGTTTAAAGGCTGTTAAATTACTGCCCGTCTATTGGATTGATAGAGAAATTATGGACAATTTAAAGAAAGATAAGAGACAGTAGAGCCAAAATGGAGATGAGCTGAAGGCCTTCTTTTAGGGAACCTGGACCTCCTGAACATCCCAGCAGAGCCTTAAGGCTGATTTATACTCAGAAACCAGGTGGTCTGCGTGTGTCGCAGTGAATGCAAATATGCCCCCGCCCCTGCCGCAGAAAATCTGTTGCACCTCTCCAAAACTGTAGGTGACCCCAGACAGTGCTGCAGACGGGAGGCCTCTGATTAGTCAAATCTACATCTGCTCTACACTATATGTATCTCCTGTTTGGTACCTTACCGGCTTGTTTTGTTTGTATGACCGCCATTGTGGAAAACAACTCGTGAAGTTGGACCAGCTTGTAGGTGCGCGAGAACGATGAGCCCCTTTTTCCACCTGGATCCCTGCTCTTTTTTGCCCCAATGTCCCTCCATTGTCGCACAAACTTGCCCCCACTTCCTCATCGCCTCGACCACAACTAGACCCGCAGCTAGTTCGTGATTGTGACTCTCGTGTGTTGTGGCGTGGAATAAAATAGCACAGACCAAATTGGGCATAAATAAAAAAATTCCAGAGCTTTGTTTTTCATTTTCAACCTTTTGCTAGTTAGGGTCCATACATTTTTTAAAGTTAAAGTAAATTAAAAAGCATCAGGCAGTAGCAACTGTTTTCTGACCAAAACTGGTTTTAGTTTTGTCATTTCAAACCTTCCAAAAAGCAAAACAAAAAAATAGCCATTCCTTTATGTTCCTTGAACCAAATGGGGAAAAATAAAATAAATCTTAAGGAAATAGTAATACCCTGTTGTTCATCTTTTGTGAAATATTTCATAGAACTCTTCTCTCACAGGTGAAATCCGGATTGCGTTTGTCCTGTACAAACACATCGGCGTTTACCTCTCCACGGAGAATGCCAGCATGAAGTTGGGCAGCGAGGCTCTGGCTACCAATTACTCCATGATTGTTAACTCTCCCGTTATCACGGCTGCCATCAACAAGGATTCAAACAAAGTCTATCTCTCTGACCCTGTCATTTTTACCATCAGGCATCTGCAGGTAATTTTCTCTATCTGTATTTGTGTGTCTTTGTGTGTTTGGACCTGAGGGGAGAGGGATTTGTTTTTACTTGGATGTCAGTGCCGCTGCGTTTAATGTGCTCTTTGTCTCTTCCCATTTGTTTACACAGAGGGCACACTTACTGTGGCGCCTTCTTGATAAAAACCTTTCATCGTCATTTTCTCTCGCCCTGAAGCGCATCATAAATGTGCAAATCTCATCTAAGAAAGTAAAAACAAGTAAATATAAAAATGTCATATTGATGGAAAGCTGTGATGAATTTAACTGTGATAAATGGAGTTTTCTTTGATGAAGGCAAGCTGTTGTCGATTGACTTGAGAAGCAGCTTGATCTTCTGAGCAAATATCAGTAGTATTCTGCCCCAGTGGTGGATGCTTTGTCATTGTGGGACGCCACAATTTCTCCCTCCTAACTCCATTTCCTTCTCCGCGATCTGCCTTCCACAAAATACCGACATCTTGTCTAAAAACATCACCTTCAGGGATTATTAGAGATCTTGAACAGCCATACTGTGTTGAAAGAACGCATACAACAGCAGAAAAGGAATGGAGAGCAGAAGGATGATGATGAGTAAAAGAAGTATAGCTCCAGGATGTGAAAATTAAATGGTGGGAAAATGTCATCGGGACAACGTCAGAGCAGCTGTTGCTCTGACTCACCTGCCCTGAAAGAAATTTGTAATTTGCAGTCTAATTTCACTCTTGGTTTGATGAACGGTACTTTTCCACTCTCATCAGTCGCAGATCACGTAATTTTAATAAAATGCTGCCCTTTTGCTAACACTTCCCCTGCTTGTAAAACAAAAATGTACACAGAGGGCTTCAACACTTTTATATTTAGAATGGAAACAGGATGCAAACAAACATTATTTTACAAGGTTAGACACTGTTTAGACAAGCAGTTAATGGACTTCATCACTTAATAATTATCATTTAAAAATATTTCTTAGTGTTAACTAAACTCTATTTGATGCAGTCCATCAAATCATGATTATATTAAACACATATTTTTATATTCCTTTGGGATTTTCTTTAGGACATACTTTTTTTTTTTACATTTCACATACATTCTTCCATTTTTTTATTAATCGTGTACTTCCAGCATGTAGATATAAGTTGATAAAAAAGAATAATAAATATTCAACCGATTGTAAATTTATAAAGAGGAGTAGAATTGTGTATAGACATAGTTACCCTAGTTGTTCCCCTTAGTTCTACAAATAGTGACCAATTTCCCCTCATTACCCAGTGTAAGTAAACTAAATTAGTGCCACAACTAATGAATATTTTGCAAATTGATGTTGATCATTTTTTCAATTAATTGATTATTTAACAGAAATGAAAGCAAAAGGTTACTTAAAGAAGATTTTTTTTTGGTGAAATTAGACCATCTTTATCTTAAATTAAAAATGTTAATGTTTTTTTTTTTTTTAAATCTTGGTTTAATTCCTCCTCTAATTGGGTCGCTCTGTCACCTAAAGCCATGTTTTAGAGTCTCCAGTTAACGATTAGTCCATTACTAAATCAGTTGACGATTATTTGAATAATCGATTAATCACAATTAATCCGATTAGTTATTTTAGCCCTAAACTAAATAAAACTTCCCTGAAATATTGATTTATAACATAATAATTTATTAAAACCTGGGAAAAAGAGCCCATATTTCTTAATACCATGTTTATAACCTGCCCTTAAGCAGTGAAATAAGTTTACATCTTAGATGTATATAGAGGACAAGCTTATTGTCATCACACTATTGTACATCTTTGGGTTTGTTTGTCCCCCCCATAAAACTCTCACTGCAGTAGATGGTTTTACTGGACAAAGATTAGCACTAAAGGGCAGAGATGCTTGGACACATTTGAAGCCTAAAAAGAAGAACAATTGTGGATTTATTATGATATATATATTTACTGCAGCATTTAGTAACCACTGTAATATTTTTATTATTACCGTTTAACCCTAAATGAGCGGTGATACATTCAATTCTACACAAATTTGACACTTTTTGGAGACTTGATTTAACAAAAATTGTTTAATGAAATTATTTTTGTGTAAACAACTACTAACTTTAATCAATTTGAGCTAATATAATTATTTAAAAGTTTAAAGTTGTGTACGACATAAAGAAATTTGCTTATTAATAGATAGAAATAACTTTTGGCATTTAACTGCAGTCACATATATATATAAATAATAAATGTTATTTATATAATTTGTTGTGTTGTGTTGTTCTATAGCAGGTATATCTATATAAAAAAAATAATTATCATGCAATTTAAATGTCATTCACTTTTAGTTTTAATGTAATGCAAAATCTGTATGTAAAAATCAGGAATAGCTGCATCTAATGATGGAATACTATCCTGCTGCTTCCCTGTTTAACCATGAGGTTTTGGTCTGCTGATCCTCTGGGATGATTATGTGTCCTCTAGTTATTGTTTCACTTCCCTGCTTTCCCATTTAACGGGTCCAATTAAAGCTATTAATGGTGACGGAGGGTCATCCTATCTCCTTGCGGTGAAGTAGCTTGCATAAAGATTTGAATGTGTGAAGGGTAAATGCAATCAGTGGAAAACCTGCATTCACAGAGGATAAACCTTATTACGCTAATTACCATAGAATAAAACTGAAACCAGGAGAAAATAAAAACCCCAGAACGTCACAGTATTTACAGTGAAAAGGGAGATATCTTTAACCTTGAGTGCTGAGTTTCTCAAAAGAAAAGGTGGAAGTACATTTTTTCTGCAACTACAGTGCAGAAAGAAAATTGGACTCGAGAGGCAAAGGCTTTCAGTGCATCTATTTATCAGCACTTACATTTTGTTGTGTTATTAAGCCTTTGTGTTGTGTATGACTTTTATAAAATGGCGAGCAAGATAGCAGGGAGGCTCGCTTGTCATTAGGGTGGCAGCGCAGCACAGACGGCAGCGGTGCCTATTAAACAGTGGGGCAGTCCATTGTCATGCAGCGAGAGTTAAAGAGAAAGGTCAAAAAACACAATGAAAAACAGGCATGAGGCCGCTTCATGCTTCCTGACAGTGACGGCACCTGCTAGTCACTAAGAATGGATGCAGACGGCAGTGGGGATAAATTACCCTTTTTTTGTGCAAACAAAATGAATCAAACATGAGTCCTATGTGATTGTTTTCTGACACTTGCTCAAACATTGAAATAGCGGATTTTGATTCTTCTCATATATTCTTTCTTCTTTTTTTAAGCAGCAGTCTGAAGAAAACTTCAACCCAAACTGCTCGTTCTGGAGTTACTCCAAGCGCAGTTACTGGGGTTACTGGTCGACGCAGGATTGCCGTCTGCTTAGCACCAATAGGACGCACACCACATGCTCTTGTACCCATCTCACCAACTTTGCAGTTCTGATGGCTCATGTTGATGTTAAGGTAGGACATTTTCATTTTTTTGGTTCTATCCTCAAAACAGGGTTCATACTCAGTTGTACAGCTGTGTGGATCTCGATTTCAGCATTTTAAATAATGGAAGAAAGAGACAAAAAATGTTTTAAGAAATATTTATTGTTATTTCCTTACTTACGTCCTTGTCCCATTTTCTAAAATTTGAAGACTTTATTCATAATTTCTTAACTTTTTCACTTCTTTTTTGTCTTTTCTTATATCTATGGAATCCTTTTTACCTTTCCTCCTCATTTCCTTTCTTTCTTTCTGAGACATTTATTCCTTTTTGTTTTCTTTTGTCCTTTCATAATTGCATCCAACCTAATTTCTTTCTGATATTTAACCTGCCTCCTTCTCCTGTGTAACTTACAGTACTGCTTCCATTTTTGCTCCCTATTCAAAGGTATGTTCACAACGAACGTGTATTTAGCAGCTGGGGCAATGGTTTTCCATCCCTATGTAAAGGGCGGTTCTGAAGCCCTGCGAAAAAGAGTGATGCGAAGGTGGCAAATCTAGTGAGGCGAATGGTGCGAATTTAGCCAAATCTGATTGCTTCCATGCCTACGAAGTACAGAAAGTGAAATTTGCATTTGAAATATCCTAAATTTTGTTAACATGCGGGTCCCGGGAATTCACTTAGACACTAGTAGTGATGGATCCAGCAACACCAATACGTCAGAGCATGCGTTGAGCCCATAGAGCAAAACACTGTATTGTTGTATTGTTCAAAAAAGTCATGTGACCGATACAGGAGTTGTTTCTAACTGACTGACTCACCAAACTATGTTTGAAAACGTATCTGCCAACATGATGCATCTGCTAAAAAAATGTCTCATCTTTTGCGGTTTATCGTTGACATTATTAAGAATTAAGAACAACCTAAAAGGAATAGGAATGTTTCAGCCGTTGCGATTTTATTTTAATTTTCTCGTTGTGTCATCCTTTTCCTATCAGTTATCACTCAACTAATGTGAATTAAAGTTAATTTCAAATTGACTTTTTGTTTTTTACTGTACTTACTGTTTTAAAAATATGATTTAAAAAACCTAGTCCACAAAAGCATTCTCATTCACATTTTCCCTTTAAAGTTTCACATTATGATATATGTTTACATCATTTATTGGCTGCATCTAAAAATATCAGATATTTTCAAATATATACATAGTTTAAATGTTTTATTCTATTTTATGAACCTAAAATCAGTAGTCCAGCGAACACTTATTCTGTATTTTAAATCAGTTTTGAGGAGTTATAGCTGTTTTTATTTCTTTTTATATTTGTATTTTACATTGTAGTATGCTTACTGTTGTGTTTTTTTAGGTAGACAATTTTAAGATCTGTCCAGGGACAACAGATGAAAAATAGCCTTTTGGCTAAATCTGGTGCATTTGCAGGAATGCTTTTTAATGTACACTGTCCCTGTCAAATAAATTAATTAATTAAAATCAAATTAAATTTAAACATAGATATGAAATAATACAATATAATATACAATAACTTAAAATATATCATTGTAGGTCATCAAATCAATTCAGTTTCGTCTGTCAAATAAGCTGCCTGTAGTGTCTTTAAAGGTCTAGCAGGTGTCAGTATTCTGTGAGACCGTATCTACGCAGTATCAATACAGTTTGGCAATGTGTCGAAACGCTTCAAGATGCCTCATTAACCCATCATTAGTCCCTAGATTTGGCTGTGACCCACAGTGAAGGAGGCAGCAGAGACAAGGCGTTTTTAATCAAAAGTTTAAGATAGAGAAAATAATGTTCACAAAGGATAAATCGGGGAATGCTATTAGGTGGTTTTTGGGTGGCTTTAAAAAACAAAACAAAAAACATTTTTCCCATCCTGTAACCTCCTGTCTTTTCTCTCTGTTGTACTTTTGTCTCTCCATCATGTGCTTTTGTTTCCATCTGTCTAGGGCTTCATCCCTTCATTCCATTTATTTCTTACATACCCAAAGAAACTTTGTAATGAACTTTGAAATTTTTAAATCCTTTTAATTCTCAAACCTTGTGTCTGGAAATTCAAACAGGTTAGAAACATAACCCAGTGCATTTCTTCATTACAAGGGGTAAATAGTTTTCAAGTAAAACCGGTGTGAAGTATTAAGATGGATTGATATGACCGTTAAATGATTTTTAGATGCTTATTAGATATAAGTTATTACAGTGTTCTAGAAAATGCTGCTACCTGACATGCTCAATTTCAAATCCCTATCTTTAAACCTCCTCTCACTGGTCAACAAGTAATGTGTGAATTAACTCCTCTGTCTTTGAGAGAGGTGTGAAAAAAGTAGCTTCAAGCCCTGCATTATAAATTGTGTGGTACTGTGATGTGTTTTAATTAAAGAAGAGAAAAAAAAAACTTTGGATGAGAATGCTATGTGTTTCAGGTTGTTTTAGAGGAGTTACTAATTTTGGTGTGAATACAGGTGACAATCTGCTTGTTATAAACACAGGAAGCTGAGAGAAGTAGCTATCCTCTTCCGTTCCAGTTTTAGGAAATAAGGTAACACCTAACTTAGAGAAAAACTCTCAAAAGTTAACTTTTTTCTACTTTTCATTGTCAAAAATAGCGGATGTTTAATTGGCTTCAAATGGTGCTCACACTAATATGTTGGCTTGTTCCAACATCCCAAGGTTTGAATCCTATATTTCTATGGTGGAAGGGTGTCACATTGTTTCTGTAAAGTAGGATAGAGGATGGTTAGGATCTTCACTTTCACTGACAGAAAGCTCCGTAACCCAAAAGAAAGAAAAAACTTTCTTAGTTAATTTACAATAACCAATAAAATCTCTAACTACTGTTTTCAGATGTATTCTGTTTTACGTCATCTTTTTTAGATGGTTAATTTAAGGTCACCAGTTCATCGCAGGGCAACTCAGAGACAAACAGGACAAACAACCATTCAGGCACACACTCACACCTAAGGAGAATTTAGGGAAGCCAATTAACCTAACAGTCATGTTTTTGGACTGTGGGAGGAAGCCGGAGTACCCGGAGAGAACCCACGCATGCTCAGGGAGAACATGCTAACTCCATGCAGAAAGACCCCGGACCGGGAATCGAGAACCTTCTTGCTGCAAGGCATCAGTGCTACGCGCTGCGCAACTGAGCAGCCCAAGCTTTAAGCAAATTAGTAAAAATACTATTGTGAAGTTTAATGCATACAAATGTGTTTTTGTTTTCAATTTAGGTATAGTATAACAATTCTTAATATATTAATCATTATTATATTAGTATCGTTATTTAATATCCCTTTGTGATTAATAAAATATGTTTGCAAAGGCATGGTATAAAAAGTTTGGTATAAAAACTATATCGATTTTTTTGTTATTAACAGAGTAAATCAACCTTCTTTTATTTTTTTGACAATGTTGCCCTATATAAAGGTTTTTTGAAAAAAAAAACATGTGAAAGGTAAGGGAGAGATATAGATAATCCCAGGAATTAGGTTTAGCTCTTCTCTTGATTTAAATTGAAATTAATAATTGTGTTTTTATTTATGACTTCAAAGGGGCTGGTTCACTGACTTACAGAAGACAAAGATGCTCAACATGCAACCTGTTAACATTTTGCATTTTGACACAGAACCCCAAATTGAATATATTATTGATCTAAAGATTGTGCTGAAAATATAAAGTTTTTTCAGGTAGTTTTTAGGGTAAAAATTGCTTATCAAGCTAGATATATAAAATCTTTGCCTGACTTAAACAGGACTTCAGGATGAAAAATAAATAATTAACATTCCCTACAATTGTGACAGGTTGTGGATAAACCATGAACAAGTCTGCCTGAGATCGGTTTAAATTATTTACAAATTCTGAAAGAATGTAGTCTAAGTCTTTATTGATGCCAAACTTGTGAAAATTTAAAAGAATTGAAGAACTCTTTTAAAGTTGCCACACTGCATAGAACTTTTTTGGAGGAAACAGCCTTCAGGTTTTGTGACATTGACCCTTGAAGTCAACTGGGTGGTAACAAAAAGCGGTTATATGAATAACTTTGTATAGCTTTCTACAGCACCTCCCCCAGCGCTGTTTGTCAACAGAAGCTCCAATGCAACTGACTGCATTGTAATTTCAACTCAAAAAAATATCATTTTCAGCACTGCATTACAATGGTTGTATGCAAACCAACATTGTTCACCTGTCCAGAAAATTACAACACAAACGCACTAAGAAATGTCAGCTGTTTAGACTGCATCCAAGAGTAAGTCGAGTGATACTAAAATTGTGGACTTTCCATTTCAGATAGATATTTTTCTTCATATCTCTTTTTAAGCACATTATTTTAGTACTTAACATAAACATTTCACAATTAGGGACACTGTGAAGTGATATGCATTTGATTATGACCACAAGTTTCTTTGATGGTTTGTTATTTCTTAATATGAATTTGCCAACATCCCAGGGTGCCATTTCTTCATGGAAGAGGGCAGGCTCCCTTAAAGTACTTTCAAAAGTATACCAAATACTTTACGAAATACTTTACTGGTAGAGAGACCAGCTTATAGTCTTAAAAAAACAACTTTTAAAAAGCAATTAAAAAACGTCTTTTAAAAAGCACTTGTTTCTGGTCCCTTAATCAAATAAATCCACGACTGCTTGGCCGTTAATTGCACAATTTCCATTTTTTGCAGTGTATGTTATCATTTTTACCAGAGGTATTTTTCTGCACTAACTTCACTGTTGTTTTGAAATACAAACAATGAAATTAATGTTATAGATTTTTGTGTTCCAAGCGATGTGTTTTATTATATGCTGCTGTTTTTAGTAAATGGGTGATCAAGGAAGCTAATTCTCATAATACAGCTTAAAATCCTTCATTAGAAATGGACATTGTATTGTTAACTTTGTTGCATATAGTGTACTATAGCAAAAAAAGAGATGAATACCATAAACTGCTATATGCAGACGACTAACACAGTTTCCTAATGCATTAGATATTGTATGATCTACCACATGGCTGAAGCAATATTAGCAATA